TTAAGCCATTCAGCCCATCAATTCTGCTCCACTGGATGAGAGAGCGGGGCAAAAACCACTGGACCTCATCTTCAATGATCTACCTGTTTCAAAGGGATCTGTTCTTGACAGTATCAGTAGGAGTAACTGGCATACAGGCCTTGTGGAACTGAAATCCAGTCTTCGCATTAAGGGTACTCTCCAGCTAGTCCCGTGGCATGACACAATGTTAAATGGGATAGATTTCGCACAGATCCAGCAACTTGAAACTGGGCATCCATGAGTAGCTGCAGAATTGTACCCAACATCAATCTGTAACCTCATGGCCAGGTATGTCCTTGCCACAAGGATGCCTTGAAGATAAAATTATTAATTTTCTCTTTCCTGGCTGGACTTTTTAAAACCCAGGAAATTAAGCTTTCTGCTGGGTAAATCCTCTACGCCCGGAACACTCCAAATGTCTCTATTTAAAAGAGACTCTTAAATCAGACAGATTTCCTATGAAATGAAGTAGTTACTCAGGAAAAGATAGCCTATTAAATACATAGTACAACTCCTGACTGACAATTAAACTGACCCCATATTTAGCTCACACTCATACAACCAACTGCACTTCCCCCAGACCCCTTACAACTCCTAGACACTGACCTGACACATCCCAGGACCCAACCAGGCTCCGCCTACACCAGCCCAGAGCGAATCTCATCCTGCTGCCATGGGACCTGACCTTGACATTTCCCTAAATCTACTGCCGGACCCACATCCCCTACAGACACCCTTACCTCCAACCGCCGCCAGACACAAACAAACGAGAACCACACCTGACCCCCAGCCTGGCTAGACCCCACCCAGCCTGACCCCCTTGCCACTGGAGCTCCACCAACCTCCAACCTGAACAGAATCTGACCCATCTGGCTCCATACCTCCCACACTTCTGCCAGATCTGGCATAATTCCTCACCACTGCCACTAGGACAGACAAAATTCACCCGCCAGAGCCTTACTCAACGGGCATCCTAACCCTGGCACCCTACCACCTCCCTGGCTGATCCAATTCCCAGCTGGTATCCCGCTTACCTGGCACCTTACCCCCTCATATCTAGCAGCCTAACATCACACTTGCCCGACCTACTTCATGACTGTCAAAGTAGTTCTGTCAGGAACTAGTTTTCAGAAGATGGAAGCTAGCAGCTGTGGAAAGAGGGCATGGTTCACCTTCCCTGGCCACTGTGCACTGGGAAAGAATTGTCAGGCTGGAAACCCAACTCTGTATTTCTGTTGGACAGCTGAGTAGAATCTCCCTTCAGCAAAAATAAAAGGCCAAAAGTCGCAACCTGTATGAGATTGCCACTCCTCAAAGAAGCTAGCTCAGCATTTTTGAAGAAAGATTCCGCCAGACATACAAAGTACTGTAAATTCCACTATTTCACATCCCAACAACTGAGATCAAAACAGGCGATCAAACCCCTGGAGGCCATCTCACAGCACCCTGAAAACTTTCAAATGCTTCTGAAATGAATCAAAAGCTCACTAATCCGACTGAAGCAATAAATGCTGCAGACACGGACTAATAACATTTCCCTGGAATATACGAATGAGGAGACTGCTTAAAGGGCCTCACCAAAACAAGGAAGGATTAAGACAATGTTATATTTAGGACAACTTGAAAAACTCTCCTACCCTGTCTTTGGAAGTTGTAGTCCACCTCTGTAAAAGAAATGATCAGTCCTCAGAGAATGCTAACTACAAACCAAGATCTTTTATAACATGCAATCTGTTCCATACAACCTGCATCCAGGAAAGCAACTGAACAAGACTATTATTGATCTCACTGCATTGAGACCAGCGAAGGAGTCACGTAGCACGTACTCCTTTGGTTTAACTTATACCAACTGTAAATCCCTCGTTAGTCTGGCCTCTTACTATGTCAATTATGTTTGTGTGTATGTTTGTGGGCCCGGATGATTTGGGGCTGACCATACAAATTGTTTTGCGTTACTGAGACTTTCTTAGGTTGGGAAAAATAATTTTCAATAAACTTCTTGGTATTTCATTTAACCAAAGTAAATTTGTTTGAGTAAAATCTTTATGGCTTTAACTCATAAACAGTGATTATGTGGAGGTGCCAGTATTGGACTGGGTTGGAACAAGGTCAAAAAACCTGGTCCTGTGATTTTTGACCTCATAAATAGTGGATACATACAGAATTGGCAATCACCTAACCTCTAACTTGAAAAGCTAAAATCTCTTACAGTCAAATGAAGTGTGGTATAATTAGGGGATTAATTTCACCCTCCTCACCTGGCCATAATATTCTCCACTCTACTATTATCAATCTCTTTGTTGCAGATGTACTGGCCAAGACAGTATTGGTAGGAGTGACCGCTGCAAAGTCTATGTGGGGACAAAACAGCCAACTTCATATTGAGAATACTCTCCATCGTGGTGGGCTGCCACTATCACCTTGTTATATTTTGACAGATTTTGAACAGATCTAGCAGATCAGTCCTGAGGAAGGATCACTGGACCCAAAACGTTAACTCTGATATTTTCTTCTCAGGTGCTGCCAGACTTGCTGTTTTTGTTCCTGATTTACAGCATCCACAGTTCTTTTGGTTTTTATTTAGTATCCAATTCATCCCATAACCAATGGATCGAACCATGGAAAGCATCTTACCTGCATTTACCCTGTTTAGCCACTTGAGTAATTTGATCAATTAGTTTAGTAACTTACAGGTTTCAATGAGTTCACCTCTTGTTCTTCAAAACTCTAAACAGTACAGGCCCAGTTTGCCTAACCTCTATTCTCAGGACACCATCATGGGGACAAGTCCAGTGAACAAAGTTTTCGCAAAGATTTGTAGCTCAGGTTGTGGGTGAGGTTGTTGACTTGCTCGCTGAGCTGGCTTGTTTTCATTCAGACGTTTCGTCACCATACTAGGTGACATAATCAATGAGGCCTCCAATGAAGTGAAATTGTTCTATTCCACTTGGAATTTATACCGTCCGGTCCAATATGGTGAGTAGTGTCATTTCCGGTTTTGATCTGTATGGGTTTGTATATGGGTCCAATTCTACATGTTTGTTGATTGCATTATGAGTTGAGAACCATACCTGTAGGAATTTCCATACATATCTATGTTTGGGTTGGGCTGCTATGGTTTCTTTGTCTCAGTTAAACTGATGGCCTTCATCATCTGAGTGCAGAACTAACGTGGTTTACAAAATACCATGCAACGACTGCCACAAACATTACATTGGAAAGACAGGAAGGAAACTAGCCATTAGAATACATGATCATCAGCTAGCAGCAAAATGGCACGGCGAACTCTCCTTAATATAGTTACACTCAGACAATGAAGGCCATCAGTTTAACTGGGACAAGGTAACCATAGTAGCCCAAGCCAAACATGGATATGCATGGGAATTCCTAGAGGCACGGTCCTCCACCCATAATGCAATCAATAAGCATATAGAATTGGACCCCATATATACAAACCCATATAAAATCAAAACTAGAAAACGACAGTACTCACCAAAACGGGGACAGTATAAATTCCAAGCGGAGTAGAATAACATCGCTTCATTGGAGGCCTCACTGATGATGTCACCGAACATGGTGACGAAACGTCTGAACAAAAACAAGCCAGCTCGGTGAGCAAGTCAACAACCTCAAGTCCAGTGAACCTTCGTTACCCTACACTGGCAATAATATCTTTGCTGAGATAAGGAGACCAAAACTACACAGTATTCCACGTGTGATCGAACCAAGCTCCTCTACAATTGAAGACATCACTACTCCTGTACTCAAATCCTTCTGCAATAAAAACTAACATTCCATTTGTCTTCCTATTAGCTTGTCAGACCTGCATGTTAGCCTTCAGTGACTTGTTAACAAGGACATAGAGGTCCGTTATGACGTCTAAATCTTCTAACTTCTCACCATTTAAGAAATACTCTGTTTCTGCTACCAAAATGGGTAACCTCAAATATTTCCAAATTATTTTCCATTTGCCCTGATCTTGCCCAATCACTAAGCCTGTCTGAATCCTCTTAAACTCTTGACAATCTCCTCATAACACCCATTCCTGCTTAGCTTTATGTCATCTGCAAATATTGAAATATTACTTTTGTCTGCACATCCACATCATCAATGGACATGGTGAACAGTTGGAGCCAAAGAATCCTTGCAGTCTCCCCCATTCAAAAATGTCCCATTTATTTCGACTGTTTTCTGTCTGTTAGCCAATCCTTTATCTGTGCCAATACATTACCTCATATATCATGTGTTTTTACTTTACTAACCAAACCCCTGTGGGGGACCTTATCAAAAGCCTTCTGGCATCCTTCAACTCCACTTCATCAGTTTTGTTAGTAACATCCTCAAAAATGCAAACATGACTTTTTATTCAAAAATTCATGCTGACTATCCCTAATCAGATCATTTTTATCCAAGTGTCAACTTATCATGTCCTTTATGACTTGTTTTAGCATTTTCCCTATTACTGACGTAAGGCTAACAGCTCTGTCGTACCTGGTTTTCTTTCCTGTTCCTTTCTTAAATGTGGGATAACATTTGCAAGCTTCCTTATGCAGGAGTTATTCCAAAATCTTTAGAATTTTGGAAGACAATTATCATTGCATCAACGATCTCTTTAAAAACCTCCTACAACACTCTGGGATGTGGACTATCAGATCCCTGGGATGTATCAACATTCCAGACTTAGATTTAGGTTTAGGTTTTATTGTCACATATACTCAATTATGGGGTTCAAGAGTATAGTGAAAAGTGCGCAATGTCGCCACATGGCACCATCTTAGATATGAAGTAGTTAGGTACAATACCTTTGTTGCAGAAATATAAAAATAAAGAAATAAGTTAAAAAGTTCAGCACTACAGTCTTCTTAGTACAGAAATGGAAAATTAAAAAAATAAAAAGTTAAAAAGTCAAACATTACCGTCGTTTCTTAAGCTATGAACCTACAGATGCTCCAAGCTAGGCTCTCCACAAAAGGTCTCACTCTCCCCTGCAGTGGGCATGCTTTCCCATACTGGGCTAAGACCCGCTTGTGTTTGCCAGCTGCCCTCGTCACTGACTGCCGCTGCCACCATCCTTTGCCGCCAGCTACAGCTGCTGCCATCTGGGCCCCCACTGGGCCAGGCAGTGCCACGCTCTGTTACTGCATTAGCCACCTCACTGCAAAGTCCTATTCCTGCACTGCTCCAGACATCAATGAAGCCGTGAGACTGCCAACCATGACCAGCTGCCTCCATGACCAAGCTCCAAAGACCAAAGAACCAAAAGAAAGAGAATGAGAGAAAAGAAGAAAGAAAAGCAGTCAGAGCAGATGAGCTCTGGTGAGGAGACCTACTTCGCTGCCATCTTGGAATTTCTGCCCCAGCACACTCTTCTTACTAATATTAAGTACATAAACTGCTCTTTCTCCATTACCACTTGGATCTCTAATTCCGGGAGCTTTTTATATCTTTCTCAGTGAAAACATACAGAGTAATCATTTAGCTTCTCTGCCATTTCTTTGTTCCACTTTATAAATTCTTCTAACTTTACTTTTAATGGACTAACAATTGTCTGAGCAAAACATTTCCTTTTTGCGTACCTGTAGAAACTTTTACAGTCCATATTTATGTTTTGTTTTGCAAAACTGCATTCATATTCTATTCTTCCTTTCTTCAACAGTTTATTAGTCCTGCTTTCTAGTCTAAAAACTTCTCAATCATCAGATTTTTTTTTTACAATTTCTGGCTACTTTATAAGATCTTTCTTTTAATGTTGTGCAATCCTTAACTTCCTTCCTCAGCCATTTTTCCTTTTACTGAACTGTAGTCCTTTATGACTCTATTGGAAAATGGGATTACAATAGTTAGGTGGTTGTTTTGACTGGTGCAGACTCAATGGGCTGAAGGGACTTTTTTTGTGCTCTAGACCTCTATGACGCTAATATTTTTTTTGAGATTTTGCACTTTGATTGAATGTATTATTGCTGTAAGCCATGCAATTGTTCTTTAAAGACTGTCATTGCCTGTATACCTATACAATTCCTTTTAATTTTTTTTTCTCAATCCAGCTCAGCCAACTGTGCCAGATGCTTTCATAATTTCTCTTATTCAAGTCTAACAGCCTTGCTTCAGCTTGAACAATCTCACTTTCAATGTAACATAAAATGTTACCATATTATGGTCATCCATCCTGAAAGGTTCTTTTAGAGCAAGATTATTAATTGGTACCTTTTTATTACATAATACTAGATCCAAAATAGCATGTCTTCTAGTTGACTCCTCAACATACCGCTGTAGAAAACTATGCTAAAGACACTTCACAAAATGGTTTTCTGTTGTTTTGTGCTCAATTGATTTATCCAATCTACATATAGATTGAAATCACCCATATTTACCACCCTGTACATGCTACATGCTTCTCTTTGAAATTATATGGTGCCCCACTGCCATTTGTTTGCCTAAAATAATTCCAACTAATGTTTACTGCTTCTTAGTTCCACTCAAATGGATTCTGCACATTATTCTTCTGACCTGAAATCATCCCTTACTAATGTACTGACACCATCCAGCGCAAAGCAGCTTTCGTGGCTGACACCCAATCTACCACATTCGACACTCACTCACTTTACCATGGAAACACTGTGGCAGTGGAGAATAGCATCTACAAGATGCAGTATGGTAATTCATCAAGATTCTGTCAACGGGACATTCCAAACATGACCTTTATCACCTAAAAGGAGACAAAAACAGATGCATGGGAACACTACCTCCTGAATTTCCAAATCACATACTGTCCTGACTTGGTATCATAACATCGTACCTTAACTGTTGCTAGGTCAAAATCCTAGAACTCCCTTCTTAACAGCTCTGCAAGCCAATAATTGCAGTGGTTCAAGAGAGTCCCTCATCACCAATGAGGGGCTTTTCCTGAGGTTTTCATCATCACAGATGCCAGTCTTCAGCCAATTTCAGGGTTTAATCCATGTGACATCAAGAAGCAGACACTCCTCACAGTCATCAGCAAGTAATGGAAAGGGTTGTCCTACAGGTTATCAAGCAGCACTTGATCATGAATAACCTAGTCACTGATGCTCAGTTTGCGTTTCACCAGGATCACTGAACTCATGATTTCATTAAACCCTTGACATAACAGTTGAATTCCAGAGATGAGGTGAGAATGATGTCCTTAATATCAAGACAACATTTGATGAAGTATGGAATCTAGAAACCATAGCAAAACTGGAGTCAATAGGAATCAGGTGGAAAATGCTCCACTTACTGGACTCTTACCAAGCACATAGGAAGATGGTTATAGTTATTGCAGGTCAATCATCTCAGCTCCAGGACATCTCTGCAGAAGTTCTTCAGAGTTGTGTTCTTGGCCCAACCATCTTCAGCTGCTTTATCAATGCCCTTCCCTCTATCATAAGGTCAGAAGTGGGGATATTGGCTGATGATTACACAATTTTCAGCACCATTTGCAATTCCTCAGATGCTGAAGTAATCTGTTCCACATGCATCAAAATGTGGATCATACCCAGGCTTGGGCTGATAAGTGGCAAGTTAACATTTGCAGGCAATGACTATTCCAAACAAGAGAGAATTTAACCATTGCTCCTTGACATTCAATGACATTATCATCATTATATGTCCACTTTCAACATCTTGGAGATTAGCATTGATCAGAAACTGTACTGGACCAGCACATAAATACATTGGCTGTAAGAGGAGATCAGGGGCGAGAACATATGTGAAAAATAACTCACCTCCTTCCTGCTCAATGCCTGTTCACTATCTATAAGGCAAAATTCAGGTGTTCAATGCAATACCCTCCAGCAACAAAATTCAAGAAGTTGAACACAATCCTAGACAATGCAGCCCACTTGATTGGCACCCCAACAAGTAATTTAAACATTCACTCCTTCTACCACCAACGCACAGTTGCAATGATGTAATCTACTATGAGCAACAAGATCTACTTAAATTTTTGGCAGCTTCTTCCAAGTCGTGACCTCAACCACTAAGAAGATAAAAGCTAACAGACTCATGGAAACACCACTACCTGAAAATTCTTCTCTAAGCCAGACACCAGCCTGACTTGGAACTGTATTGCTGTTTCTTCACTCACTAGGTCACATTCCTGGAACTCTAACAGGTACTCGCTGCAGCATGGTTGTTGCAAGGCAAATTGCAGCAACATTGTCGCTGGGGCCATCTGTCATTGTGAGATTTCAGAGGCAGCAAGGATCGCAATATTGTCTCATCCTGAGAGATGGCAACATGTTGCCTTCCCACTGCAGCTACTTCCATCACTAGATTGAAATCCATTAATCTGGAGGAGCACATACTCTAGAAGTATGATCCAAATGAAATCCTTATCCATTTGCATTTCTAGTCTGTCCCAGGCTGAGGGAAATTATTGAGCTCACATGACACAGAATGATGCCATTACTGGTGATAGAAGCTTCTGCAGGTGGACCAAGCGGTACCATTCATTGAGGTGACTACATAATCCATAGTTGCTTTTAGAGTTTTGATATTGCTCATCAGAACTCTGCAGAAGTTGCAGTAGCTTTCCTCTAGCAAATAACGTGGTTGTAAGCTTCTCTGCCAGTGCACAGACCAAATTTTCTAATGCACATAATGTGCATCCTTATAAAGGCTCCTAAAGTCAGTTTTCTATTCTCTTTAGCAAAATTAGACCATGAGGTTGTCCTCCACTGAATTATTTCCAGGGTTGGCCTCTTTATTTGCACTTGTTCCTCTCAATCAGGCTCAATGTACTGCACAGTGTTACACCATTAGTTATATGCAAACATATGAACTAGGCCATTCAGCCCCTCAAGCCTGCTCTACCATTCAATAAGATCTTGGCTGATCTGATTGTGGTCTCAACTGTACTCTTCTATCCGTATGCCCTTTGAAAAGTGAGTCAATCAAGAATCTAAAATAAAAGCATAATTTATCAGCTGCTGGAGATCTAAATAAGAACAGAAACTGCTGGAAAAACTTAGCAGATTTGGTAACATCTGTGGAGAAAGAATAGAGTTAATGTTTTGAGTCAAATATGATTTCTTCCAACTCAGCCTTAAAGAATCAAATGAGGAAATTATCACAAACTGGCAGTTTCTACTCTTATAAACTTTAAATTAACAAAAATGAGCTGACTGTTTCTATACTGATTCTCAAAAAGGTGAGAACAAGTGACGATGTACTTTCAGGAACATTCTTCCCTCCAGCCCGTGATTTTTCAAGTTCCAAAGTATCTGTTAGATAAGGGTTAGCATGTAGACGTAAGGCAGTTGTAGATGAGAGACAGTGTGATCCACCATGATGCTACCATACTTTGTGTCTCTGTGTGCAAGGGGTAATTAGAAAGAGGAAAGAATGGCACTTGCCTAAAACAATTTGACCTCCGACCTCCAAGACTTAACAATATGAAAATAGCAGTTCATACAGAAAATTGACCTAGCAGGTCAAATTGTGCCGATACTAAGTGCATTCATCGTTATATGTTCTAGATCTTTGTAGATATTTTCTAATCAATCTGTTCAGAGATGTTATGACACATGTCGGGAGCTGCTGGGACTTGAACCCAGAACTGCCTGGTTCCAGCTGGCCTACTGGAGTTCCTCTAAACCAAGTTTTGTGCAATTGATGTAGCAAGTGCTATTTATATGGATTTATATAATGTGTTACTGTTACTGAAGACAAGTCAATTAGCATATTTAAAGAATTAACACGCGAAGACAAAAAGAAGTCTAAGGGAAAAGAGCATTGGAACAAGGTAATCATATCTACCGTGAACAGAGGCACCTTGAACCAAATGGCCTCTTTCTGCAAAGTTTCTATCATTTTAAATATCCTTACTATAAACTGACCAAATTCACTTAATTTCATTCTTCGCCATTCCTCTTTCTTTTTCTCTATCCTTAAACTGAATTGGTTAAAGAGGTAGACTGTTGTCCCTGGTGTTCCGGAAGGCACAGATGCCTCATTGACGCCACCGCCACCGCCACTCTCACTTCCAGCAAAATGCAGCGTTAAGAAAATTTGAATTGCAGAGTGAGGAAGTTAATCCCAAGTAAACTAATCCCAAGTAAACAGCAAATGCTGGGTCGATGAAGCGAGATGATCTTCGCACTCATTACAATCCGTTTTCCTGTAAAAATGTAGGGCATATTGATTCGATTTTCACCCATTTCAGTAACAAACAAACTCTTCCAGTTCATATCTGCTCAGCTTTGTCAGTCACTTCAGACAAATACTTGATATTTGTTTCCATTTAAAAGATGACAGTGAAGTTGAATTATATAACATTAAACTCGTGTGATTCACATGTACGTTTTCGAATGTATGCTGTAGTGTTTTGGAAAAGAAGGCATCACTGTGGGCCCTAGCTCCAATTTGCATTACTGTATTCATTAAGGAAATGTTGCCTTTGTTGGCTGGGCCAGCATTTGTTTATTTGAGCTTAGCTGCCCTTGGGAAGGTGGCGGCGAGCGTAATATAGAACATACACTATCCCACTGAACATACTTTGGAAGTTACATTACTATTAGCAATTAGTTTTCGAAATATTAAAAAATATATAATATATGTAATTAGAAATATGATTATATATCCTGCCATAACTAATCCTAAGTTCTATAATCGATATTGATCAATGTAAAAAGCTGCCCCCAGGATGCGCTACATAAAATGAACTGGGAGATTTACACTGCACACACACATGTGCCGTGTATTAATAAAAGGAGCCAGCAGAGGTGTGTTTTTTCCGCTCACAGATTGTCATCGTTTTCCCCTCCTCTTTCCCATTCTATAAATAACCCGTCAGATTAACTCACGACCGCTGAATCCCTTCCAAGGACCGTCACGCTAAGTTCCAGCCCCCAGTGCTAACATGATACGTCGGATGCCACCAGGAAGGGTGATCTGTTTGGCTGAGCTCGCTGTCACTCTCTCGCCTCCCGGTCCAGCTGCTGCCGATGTGAGAAGCGAGGGGAGAAAATCCTGTTGACGAGGTAGCAACATCTCTACCCAGCCAAGTTAAGCCTCTACGGCTAGACGCATCTTTCTCATTACACCAGGTAAACTGTTTAAAAATTATAACCATTCACTTTAAAGACACGTTATAAACAGGTGGATTGCGTAACGCAGAGAGAAAATAAACTAATGAAGTTCATTTTGATAGAATATTGTCGCAGATAATCTGGGTTAACCCTTTCATATACTTTGCTCAACAGTGCAAATCATATTTTTGTCCATTTCTTTTAAACAATGAGTTAACAGATGAACTTCAGGGATAAGTATTACATTTTAACTTGCGTCTCCTTTGTTACTGTTGAGAAAGCTTGGCTCTGTTAACACATTTTTTGATAAAATGCTTACTTGACTCAAGATGTGGCTGTTCTCTAAAAGTTTTATTTCAGCTATAATTTGAGCTTTGAAATATAAAAATGGTATATTACTTGTTTCTCGGGTTGATGCATTTTTTTTTCAATAAATGAAACAAATGTGGGCCAACAAGTTGTAGAAATATTCCTGTTACCCTAATACCAAGTCTGAAATAATGGTTTGTATCCATCGAAGTACTGTCACTGAATTTGGGTTGGGCACGGAGTCAAAAATGTTTGACTCAGATATTTACTAAATATTAACAGAGAACTTGACAGGGTAGATGCTGAAAGGATTCTTGTAGTGAAGTCTGGAATGAGGGAACACAATTTAAAAATACAGGATCTACCATTTAAAATGAAGATGGAAAGAATATTTTGTTTTGTTGGAGTTGTGGGTCTATGAAACCCCTTTCCTGCGAGAGTAGTGGAGGAAGAGTCTTTAAATGTTTTTTTTAAGGCAGAGGTAGATATGTTCTTGATTGAGAAGGGAATTAAAAAACACAGGGAGTAGGCAGAAAGTAGAGTTGAGGCCATAATCAGATCAGCCAGGACCTTATCAAAAAGCAGAACAGATTCACGGGGCTGAATGACTTATTGCTGCTCCCAGTTTGTTTACTTACATGGACATGTCTTTAACACATTAATGGTTCCTATATGGACAGAAATTTGCATGTGAAAGTCTAAATAACAAAGTTAATTGAAATTAAAACAGAAATTGCTGAAAAAAGCTCAGCTCAGAACGCACTCCAGGTTTGAGGAAGGGTCACTGGAACTGAAATGTTAACTCTGATTTCTCTTCACGGATGCGGCCAGATCTGCAGAGCTTTTCCAGCAATTTCTGTTTTTGTTTCTGATTCACAGCATCTGCAGTTTTTTCAGTTTTGATCAGAAATTATTTAGACTTTGAGTATGTGTTGGCTGATCATTTAACTATTTTAACTAGCAAATATTTTCACTTTACACATATACAGTTAATGGACCACATTTTGCTGGAGCAGGAACTGCCTGTTATGCTATCCCACCTTAGTTACATTTTACAGGTTTCGGTTTTATAATTTATGTTCCCATGTAATTTTCTGGAAGAGAGAGCAGCTAACAGCACTGTGAGGGCAACCAGACAACTGGGGCTTTGGTAAACAACTGGATAAATAATCTGTCTTTTAGTCAATGTGATTACAAGATTTAGAAATAAACACAGGAAGATCAGAGAAGGGAGGTACATTACAGACTGAGAACAACTACGCTCCCCCATCACACCACATCCAACCCTCCCCTCACATGCTATCATCTTCCCCCCTCCTCTCCTTCAGACTTCTCGAGAGCCCCAAAACCACACTCATGAACTTTGCTGCATATTCACCATTTCCCCTGACCTCAAACTGAGGCTGAACAGTCTGTCCTCAGTAATGGGGTCATGTTCATGCCCCTCCTCAATGAGTTTCATGCCCGCCATGACCTGGAACTCTTCTTCCGCTACCTCTGCCTTCATGCCTTCTTCTTCAGTAAAGACTCCCAACCACCTTCCGGGGACTCCTTCTCCCGCCTCCAATCTTCCTCCTCCTTTTGGACACCCCCTGCCCTAGACCTCTTCATTGCTAACTGCCAACGCAACTTTAACTGCCACAATTTCTCCACACCCCCTCACTCACTCCAACATCTCCCCTTCCGAACATGCGGCGCTGTACTCATTCTGCACCAATCCCCAATTCACTATCAACTCGCTGACAAAGGTGGGGCGATGGTAGTCTGGAAGACGGACCAATAAGTCACAGAGGCCGAATGCCAACTCTGACACAACGTCCTACAACCCCCTTGACCGTGACCCCACCATAGCCCATCAAGCCACCGTTCATGTCCTCATCGCTTCTGGTTACCTGCCCTCCACCGCCTCCAACCTTATAGTCCCCCAGCCCCGCACTGCCTGGTTCTACCTGCTCGCCAAGATCCACAAGCCCAACTACCCTGGCTGACCCATCATCTCTGCATGCTCCTGCTCCACCGAACTCATCGCTTCCTACTTCGACTCCATTCTCTCCCCCTTGGTCCAGGCAGTTCCCACCTACATCCAGGACGCCCTCCACCTCATTGGTAATTTCAAGCTCCCTGGTCCCCAATGCTTTATTATTACTATGGACATTCAATCCCTGTGTACAGCCATAACCCACAAGGATGGCCTACAGGCCCTCAGACTTTTACTCTCCAACAGACCCATCCAGTCACCCACTCCTCGTCTGCCTTGCTGAACTAGTCCTCACCCTTGATAACTTTTCCTCCAATTCTTCACACTTTCTCCAAATCCAGGGGGTTGCCATGGGCACTCGCATGGGCCCCAGCTACGCCTGCCTGTTTGTCAGTTATGTCGAACAGTCCCTCTTCAGCACATACAGTGGTGCTGTTCCCCAACACTCCTGCCATTACACCGATGACTGCATCGGTGCTGCATCCTGCACGCAGGGTGAGCTGGAGCAGTTCATCGAATTTGCTAACAACTTCCACCCCACCCTCACATTAACTTGGTCCATCTCAGACACCTCCCTCCCCTTTCTTGACATCTCTGTTTCCAGACCGACATTTACAGACCAACCCACAGACTCCCATAGCTACCTAGACTACAGCTCCTCCGACTCTGTATCCTGAAAAGACTCCATCCTGTTTTCCCAGTTCCTCTGTCTCCACCCCATCTGCTCTGACGAGGAGATGTTCCACTCCCAATCATCCTGGATGTCTGCCTTTTTCAAACAACGTTCTTTTCACCCCTCTGTCATCCAGACAGCCCTCCACCATGCCTCCTCCATTCCCTGCTCCACAGCTCTTAACTACCCCCCCTCCAAACGTAATAAAGATAGGGTTGCCCTTGTCTTCACTTTCCATCCCACCAGCCTCCGCATCCAACGTATTATCCTCAAACACCTCTGCCAACTCCAATCAGATTCCACGACCCGGAACATCTTCCACTCCCCACCCATCTCTGCCTTCTGCAAGGACCATTCTCTTTTCCACTCATCAATTCGCACCACACTCCCCACCAACCACTCCAAACACCGCCCCCCCCCCCCCCGCCCCTCCAGTACCTTCCCCTGTAACCATAGAAGATGCACACCACCTCCCTCCCCTCCATCCAGGGCCCTAAACAGTCCTTCCAGGTGAGACAGAATTTCACCTGTATCTCCTCCAACCTAGTCTATTGCATCCAGTGCTCCCAATGTGGTCTTTTCTACATCGGTGAGACCAAACATAGATTAGGTGACCATTTTGCCAAGCATCTTCGCCTGGCCTGTAATGGCCAGCTTAACCTCCCGGTCAGCACCAATTTCACCTCCCTGTCCCTCCATCCCCATCCACATGTCCATCCTTGGCCTCCTCCATTGTCGCAGCGATTCAGAACACAAATTTGAGGAAGAACACCTTATCTTCCACCTGGGCACCCTACAGTCCACAGGACTTAACACTGAGTTCTCTAATTTCAAATGATCTTCCCACCCATCCCCCAGCTCCCCTTCTAACCCCACCTCCTCCCTTCCATTCCACCTTCTGACCCTCCCTTCTAGCCACTGACCGGATTCATCCCTGCCATCAACCAATCAGGTCATACCTCTATCAGTGTCCACCTATCACCACCATTCTGCCTCCACACCCCCTCCCCGCCCCTTTACTTGCAGCTCTCCCTACACCCACATCCAGTCCTAAAGAAGGGTAACACCCAAAATGTTGACTGCTCCTTTCCTTCAGATGCTGTCTGGCCTGCTGTGTTCCTCCACCCACTTGTTTGTCTACCTTGGATTCCAGCATTGTCTCTAACTTATTTTTATAGTTCCTTTTCATGTAATAAAACATTCCAACATCTTTGAGGCAGAACAGTAGCAGAGGAGGAACGAAAATGAAAAAAAAATGCAACGTCCTGGAACTTTTTCCGAGCTACCATCAGTTATGAAGAAGTGTGATTCCTCTCCACAAAGTTTTTCCAGCAATTTCTGTTTTTTTTTCTGATTTCTGGCATTTGCAGTTTTTTGGTTACCCATGGGGGTAGGGTGGGAGACCCTTACTCAGAACCCAACCAAAGGATCCAACATCAGGAAGGGGGAGAAGCTGCTAGGAGTTCCTTGCCTGCCCTTGCTGCTGATCCCATCTCCATCTTGCCATCAGTCACCTGAGCTTGGCTGATCCTAGGCCTCCAATGGATGTCAAACCATTCAGCCATGACTGTCTCCCCAGCTCCTGATTGGCCAGCAGCTCTCAGCATCTCCCATTCTGATATTTGATTGGATCCCTGGAGAAAGTGTGCCACTGCCTCACTTTGTGCCTGATTGATACTCTTGCCTGCTGTTCAGGTGGTGGTCAAGATCTCTATTACCTCCATTAAACACTACCCAAGGAGATAAGAGGTCACTGTTTTGTGGACTGTGTTAAAGAACGAAAGTGAGGTGCAGCGATGTAAGGTATTCCAGAGCTTAGAACTCGGGCTAAAAGCCCAGGACTCTGTCAAATTAAAAGTGGGGAACAAGACAGAAGAAAGGTTAAGAAACAAAATTAAATATGTTAAATTGAGTTGTAAGTTAATAACAGCAAATCCAGAGACTCGTATCAGCAAAATGCAGCCCTTTTGTGGTAATATTGCAATAGTAGATTTTCTTCTTTAATTATATTGGAGAAATGACATACATTAATTGTTAATACATTTCAGTACACTTAGT